GTGACGTAGACATGTGGGGGCGTGTTAGAACGAGCCGTTTTAGGGGGGTGTGGTTGACTCTTAACTTTTATAAAGAATATCTCTTTGGATTTGAGACTTTAGTCTTTGCAACTTTACAGATCTTCTTTATGCACCAAGAGCTTGTAACACTCCAAAGAGAAAGGAAACATTTAAATCACATCATATGACCCGTTTAAAGGGATAGTTCAGTTATTCTCCATTCCAAACCAGTATAACTTTCTTCTATGGCAAACAAAAGTAAATATTTTGGGAAATGTCTTTTGACCATACAATGGAAGTCAATTTTCATCAAAACTGTTCAGTTACCAACATTCTTCAAAATATCTTTTCTTTTTTTCTGCAGAAAAAAAGTCATACTGGTTTGAAATGACATGGTTTGAAAATTCTGACAGAATTTTAATGTTTGGATGAACTATCCATTTATTGTTTTTATTGAGCATTCAGTGACCCTTTTTGATTTGTCATAAATAAGTGAGAGCAAAGTGGATTGATTAACAAGTGATGCATTACAGGTCAACGTATTGATTTTTTTAAATAGTGGAAAAAAATCCATTAATGATTTTTCTTTTCACACTGTGAATTCAGGACAATGTCCTTAACGTCTAATGAAATTATTATTGCACTCCAAAGGAAGTGGAATGCTGTAATTAATGACTTACTTTCTTTTGTGTAACACCAAAGAAGATCATTTAGATAATTCTTTTAACTGTTAAGGAATGCTTTTGCCTTTATAATGAAAGTCAATGTGGTCCCTACTGGACCCCACTGGCTTTCATTTCATGGACAAAAAAATACAGAACAGTGTCATTTTAGTATTATTTATATAGTATTATAGTTTTGTTCGTTTAAATTTAATTTGTGTACTATTATTTATTTTTATTTCAGTTACATTCTTGTTCAGTTTTAGTAATTATTTATTTCCATTTTTCTTTTTGTATTTCCAGTCATTAATTAAAATGAAAAATACTGAAAAATATATATATATATATATATATATATATATATTTGTGCTACAAAAAAAACAATATATAGTTCGACTTAAGAACACTGCCCTAAGTGTATGGAATATTAACAGTGATGCTTGTGTAAAATAATGTAGTTGGTTATCCGTGGACCAACATGATGTTGTCACTCAGCCCCCTCCCTCCATCCCTCCCTGCATCCCTCCCTGCGGCAGCACCTCTGATGGCTGTGGCAGCCCAGGTCTCTCTGAGAAAGGTTGTGGTGGGTGTGATGAATAATGCACCTCATGTATTAGTCACTTCAGTCCATCAGTAGAAGCAGAATCAGAGCTGTCTGAGGAAGAGTCTCCAAGTGAAAGCTTGAGCCATCAGTCACTTCTTCCCCTTCTCTAACCTACTAGACATAAAAGAATGTAGTTGGTTATCCGTAGACCAACATGATGTTGTCACTTTCCCAGCCCCCTCCATCCCTCCCTGCATCCCTCCCTGCGGCAGCACCTCTGATGGCTGTGGCAGCCCAGGTCTCTCTGAGAAAGGTTGTGGTGGGTGTGATGAATAATGCACCTCATGTATTAGTCACTTCAGTCCATCAGTAGAAGCAGAATCAGAGCTGTCTGAGGAAGAGTCTCCAAGTGAAAGCTTGAGCCATCAGTCACTTCTTCCCCTTCTCTAACCTACTAGACATACAAGTACAGTCACCTCAAGAAGTAGCTGAACACTTACATGTTCATGAGAGGTATTACATTATATACAGAATATAAAGTTAATGGCTAGTGTAAAGAAATGTTGCACTTTTTTTGCAATGACTTTTAACTAGTTGGTGTTGGAACAATGCATCTGTTGTTTTAAATGGAAGCCCTGCCTCAGTGTACATGATTTAGAAAAAATGTGAAAAAGAAATACGTATATATTTTTTCACTCTGAGGCTGAAATTCTTAACAAGCTTTTGCTATTTAATGAAATAAAAATATATATATATATATATATATAACGTGAGATCCAAAACTCTAGGAGCAAACTGAAAATTATGATTAAAAATGCAAATGAAACCTGAAAATAAATTAAATTTTAGAATTTTGATCAATTTAAATCAAAGAAATGTATGGAAGTTTGTTTTCGCCACAGGATAAAAATTAATAATAATAAAGGTAATATCACAATATTCTGAGAAATCTGTAAAACGAAATAAAAATTGATAGATTAAGAATTGTAAGATATAAACTCAACTTTTTTCTCCCTCACAATTCTAAGTTTACATCTTCCAATTATGTTTTTTGTTTCCGTCATGAAATAAAAAAAATTACTTTTCATCTCACAATTCGGACTTCTCAAAATTGCGAGTTTATATCTTGCAATTCTGAATTGTGATACATAAACAGAATTATAAAGGGACAAAAAAGTCAGTATTCTGATATGAAAAGTTGCAATTACCTTTTTTTATTTAGTTACTTTTTATCCCATGGCAGAAATAAGCATATGTGGCTTAATATGAAGAAATAACATTCTGCAATATTTCTAGGTCACTAATAAAAAAAAAGTAAATCTGTATCATGTGGCTCGTTGTACAGACTAATGCAAGAAAATGCAAAATAGAAGCATTTTTGCTAGTGATCTCGGACTTTTGGACCCTATAGTGAACTCAACCATCACTAGACGTACCTTCAGCCAGATTCAAATTTGCAAAGTTAATAATCATTGTTCTATGTCCCCTCCTCTGTACAGGTATAAAGAGCTTGTCACAGGGAAAAGGGCAAGAGAGATCATTGCTATTTTATGGATCTTATCCTTCATCATTGGACTCATCCCATTCGTGGGCTGGAATCGTAAAGACTTGGCCTGTTCCAGAAACGAAAGCAACTTTACACAGACTAGCAATAGCAGTGACGCCGCTGAGATGGAAACGAGCTTCTTGCAAAGCTGCTGCCTCAAGTGCTTCTTCGAGAAAGTGGTGGACATGAGCTACATGGTGTACTTCAATTTCTTCGGTTGCGTGCTGCCACCTCTGCTCATCATGCTGGGCATTTACGTCAAGATCTTCATGGTGGCACGGAAACAGCTGCGCCAGATCGAGCTCAAATGCAGCGTGAGTAACGGTGAGAATCAGCACCACGGCCTGCTGCAGCGGGAGATTCGTGCCGCCAAATCGCTCTCCATCATCGTGGGCCTGTTCGCTCTCTGCTGGCTGCCCGTGCACATCCTGAACTGCCTCACTCTCTTCTACAGCCAGCTGAAAAAGCCCGGCTTCATCATGAACATCGCCATCATCCTCTCGCACGCCAACTCCGCCGTCAATCCCATCATCTACGCCTACCGTATCCGGGAGTTCAGAGTCACTTTTAGGAAGATTCTGAAGCGCCATTTCTTTTGTCGACGGGACGAGTTGTATCGCAGCTCCAATGGAAGCAGCTGTCACAGAGACCAGATTACAATGACTATTGACCCTCTGCTTTAGACATCTTCATCAAAATATGAGAGAAATGTTTACAGGCCAAAGAACTGCAAACGGCATGATCGTGTATTGAGATGGTGTCTAGCGTGGCCCACAATTCATGAAGACATTGTGGACACATTTTCAGAATTTAACATTGAACTGTGAGAAAAACAAAAAAGCCTCGGTCACTACAAATCTGTGGAAAAATGTATAGATTGCATTTCCAAGCAGACTTTTGCAGCAGCTATAGGTCAAGCCTTAGCGCAAGGATTTGAAAGCTACGAGTGGTTGCTGGGCCTTTTGGAAGTGCTGAACGATGAACTGAACCACGTATGAGAAACCTACATGAGGATCCTGCAGAACAATAAAAGAATCATTGTGGGCAGCTTTAGTCTGTAGAACAGCCCAGAGGAACCATCTGGATTCATAAGGCACATCGGAACACAAAGAAACCGTTTCTGAATGCTTGAATGTATTAGGACCTTTTGTTGTTTTTTACAGTTGAGATGGTTGGTTTAGACTGCTCAGGAACACACACGAGGTAAAAGCAAATTTAAGAACCCATAATAGAAAGGAAATCATAAAACGATTTTCTGTACAGCCAGTTATGAAAAATTACCCCAATTTTCATTACTTAAAATGCACTGCTGATGGTCCATTCACAACTCAATTAACCCAACAAGTTCATATCTGAAACCAGAATGACTTCAAAAGATACACTGGGTACACAGTGACCCCAATATTATTTGGAAATGTATTGCATTACATAACAAAAAGTGTTGTAATACTCTTTATTTAATCTTAATTTTTATATCATATTGTTTTATAGTTTATAACTAATAAACATTGCTATGTTTCTTTAAAATAAATGCCACTTTGATGTTTTGTTATCTAATGCAATTACATTTAGATATTTTTAAATGTTGCTGAAGTGTACAAATACTTTTTGGTGACCATTACACATTTCTAATTAGCAACCAGAAAATAGTGCAGAAGATTTTATATCATGTTTCTTTCTTTAAACCTTTTCAAAAAGTAGAAAAAAAAACCTTTTTAATTTAGAAGCTGTTTATTAGATTATTTGCAAGTCAAATTAGATTTAAATCCCAGGTTTTCACTGAGGTCTCGGATGTTTGGAGCTCACTGTAATATCAGTGTCCTTAGATTTCAGATGTCTGTCTGCTAATGTGTCACAGCCCTTAGGAATCAGTTTGTTATTGAATGTCTGACTGTGACAAACTACCCAGACTGAAACAACAGCAGTTGACCTGCAGCAAAGACTCCTCTGTCTCCTCTGGAGAGAGATTTACAGTGTCACCACCGGAGCTGGATAGCTGGATAACGCTCTGTAGTGCCAATAATACCACGCTATTCTATTAATCACCAACCACCTTTACAGTATAACTACAGATCAGGAGAGAGGTCTGCTGTTCATTCATCAGTGGCTCATCTAGACCACATTTTGAAGAATAACATACGATTATAAAATGATTAAAAGCTCAGAGCTGTGACTCACTGATTAGAGTGCATGCTCCTCAGACATTGAGCCTTGGAGATGTAGGTTTTAGTCTGGACTGAAATGTGTCTTCATCCCAATCTTAATCTCTTGTCACTAGTTTTTCTCTCCATTATATGTTTGTCCAGTTCAATAGGAAAAATAAAGCTATATTTAGTGTATCATCTGAAGAGATCCTGATCTTTCATGAACACTGAGTGTATTTACATCTTACACTCATTTTTTATGTCAGGTTATATTATATAATCTGACCAAGTTTTGGTCATGTCAGTGCCTTAAACTGTTCTTTAAAGCAACATCAAACTTTTTTGCACTTTTTTCGATTTGTTTCTATATATATATATATATATATAGTGGTGTGAATTTACAGTGGTCCTGATTTCTTATTTTTTTGCATGTTTGTCACACTTTAATGTTTCAGATCATCAAACAAATTTAAATATTAGTAAAAGATAACACAAGTGAACACAACATGCAGTTTTTAAATGAAGGTTTTT